CCATGGAACAGAAGTTGCCTGCGGAAGTTGTGGGAGCTTCATCCCTGGAGGGTTTCAAGAAGAGACAGGACTGCCATCTGTCAGAAACAGCGTAGGATCTCCTGCTTGGGTGATGTGGGGGGTTGGACTAGATGACCTACCAGGTCCCTTCCAGCTCTGAGGTTATTCTGAGGCTGAAACCCAAGCAGGAAAAGGAGGTCCTGAGCCCCTCAGTCGTTCCCACCCCCACCCCCCGCAGGCTCCTGAGCGCTTGTGCTTTTCACAGAACAGGCCCGAAAGGATCTGCAAGAGGAGATGGAGTCCAAGATGGTGGAGAAGGGCGAAGTGGACCGGCGGGAGGAGCAGCTGAAGGCCCTGGGCAGCCAGCTGGAGCGGGTGGAGCAGCAGCTGGCCTGGACCAACCTGGAGCTCAACAAAGAGAGGGCCAGAGGGGAGAGCATGCTCCAGCACCAGGAGGTGAGCAAGGGGGCGGCGGAGGGGCTGACCAGGGAGAAGGGGTGTCCTTCCCCTTCTCCTCCTCCCTCCCCCCAGGAAACTGTAGGTTGGACTGGGAAATGGAAGAAAGAATGAGAAGCCCCTTCTGTCTTCCCACCAAGAAAAGTAGGGGGATGAAGACAGGCTTCACTCTGAAACGCTCTTGAAGCTTTCTTTTTTTCTTTCCTTTTCTCTTTTTTTCTTTTTTTCTTTCCTTTTCTTTCTTCCTTTCCCTTTCTTTTTTCTTTCCTTTTTTCATTCTTTTTTTCTTTTCTTTTTTCCCTTTCTTCTTTTCTTTTTTCCCTTTCTTTTTCTTTCATTTTCTTTTTATTTCTTTCCTTCCATCCTGTCTTTTTCTTTCTTTCTTTCCTTCCTTTCTGTGTCTTTTTTCTTTGTCTTTTCTTCCTTCTTGTCTTTCTTTCCTTTTTCTTTCTTTCATTCCTGTCTGTCTGTCTTTTTCTTTCTTTCCTTCCGTTCCGTCTGTCTCTTTTTCTTTCCTTCCTTCGTCTTTCTTTCTTTTTCTTCCTTTCTGCCTTTCTGTTTCTTCCTTTTTTTCTTTTCTGTCTTTCTTTTCTTTCCTTTTTCTTTCTTTTCCTTTCTGTCTTTCTTTTTCTTTCCTTCCTTCGTCTTTCTTTTTCTTTTCTGCCTTTCTTTTTTTCTTCCTTTCTGTCTTTTTTTTTCTTTCTTTATTTTCTTCCTGTCTTTCTTTCTGTATTTTCTTCTTTCTCATTTTCTTTCTTTTCTTCAAACTGTTGATTTTTTATTGATTACATTTCTTAATGCTTAATAAAACCGTGATGTCTGGGTATTTAATTTGCTTAACAATCTTGATTATATCCTTAATCTCAACCACTGATAAAATAGATTCCACGTTTGATAGTATTCTGTGTCTTCCGTCTGCTTAATTTTCAACGTCAATCTATCCATTTCTGCACATAGTATCTTCATTATCTCTTCATCTCGTGGTGTTTCTTCATTTTTCCAATATTGTGTGAATATACAGTAGTGGCTAAAATTGTGGAAACCTTTTGGGAAGAGTGTACAGTATTTTTGAGGTTTGATGGCCAATAACACCAGTTCAACACCACAAAAAATATCACCATAGAAAAAACAAGATATATAAAAATTATCACATCAGTTAGTTGAGTAACCTTTAGCATTAATTACAGCCTTACAGTGGAGTGAACCAAATCTTTTAGTTATGCAGCTGTTAATGTGAAACCAATGATTGCTTCTATTAACTAGGTTTTTTTTAATTGAAAATTTTGAAAAAAAAAACCTTTTACAAACCTCCCCCTACCCTCCCCAACCTACACCCTCCCTCCCCCCCCCTTCCCAGAACCAATACAGGGNTCCTTTCTTCTCTCCTTCCAGTGGTTAGAATGCAGTATTGCAGGCTATCTCTGCCCATAGCCAAGAGTTTGATCCTGACCATCTCAAGGTCGACTCAACCTTTCCTCTTTCCGAGGTCGGTAAAATGAGGAGGCCCTGCCGGCTCCCTGCAATTTGGCAGTTCAAATCTCACAGGCTCAAGGTTGACTCAGCCTTCCGTCCTTCTGAGGTGGGTAAAATGAGGACCCAGATTGTTGGGGACAAGAAGCTGACTCTGTCAACCGCTTAGTGAGGGCTGGAAAGCACTGTGAAGCGGCATATAAGTCTATTGCTATGAAGAGCTGTGGTGGCGCAGTGGTTAGAAGGCGTTATTGTAGGCTTATTCTGCCGATTGCCAGCAGTTCGATCCTGACTGGCTCAAGGTTGACTCAGCCTTCCATCCCTCCTTCCGAGGTCGGTAAAATGAGGAGGCCCAGATTGTTGGGGGCAAGAGGCTGACTCTGTAAGTTGCTTAGAGATAGCTGTAAAGCCCTGTGAAGCGGTATATAAATCTAAGTGCTATTGCCCTTCCTTCCTTCCTTCCTTCTTTCCTTCCTTCTCAGATTGTTCGGGGCAAGAGGCTGACTCTATAAGCCAGTTAGAGGGGGCTGGAAAGTACTGTGAAGTGGCATATAAATCTAAGTTCTATTGCTTTGCCCTCCTTCCTTCCTTCTTTCCTTCTCAGATTGATGGGGCCAAGAGGCTGACTCTGTAAGCCGCTTAGAGAGGGCTGGAAAGTACTGTGAAGCGGCATATAAATCTAAGTGCTATTGCCTTTCCTTCCTTCCTTCCTTCCTTCCTTCCTTCCATTTCCTTCCTTCTCAGATTGTTGGGGGCAAGAGGCTGACTCTGTAAGCCGCTTAGAGAGGGCTGGAAAGTACTGTGAAGTGGCATATAAATCTAAGTGCTATTGCTTTGCCCTCCCTCCCTCCCTTCCTTCTCAGATTGATGGGGCCAAGAGGCTGACTCTGTAAGCCGCTTAGAGGGCTGGAAAGTACTGTGAAGCGGCATATAAATCTAAGTGCTATTGCCTTTCTTTCCTTCCTTCCTTCCTTCCTTCCTTCCTTCCTTCCTTCCCTTCCTTCCTTCCTTCTAAAGAGTCTTTCATGTGGTTTCTTCCAGGAGCTGTTTCTCTGGAGATGAGTCTGTCCACCTTGAAAGAAAAACTCNGAAACGGTATAGGGTTTCCTGCCTAGGCAGGGGGTTGGACTAGAAGACCTCCAAGGTCCCTTCCAACTCTGCTATTGTATTGTATTGTATATGCATCTATATATTTTTGTTAATGCACCCCAGGTGAAATAATAATTCGTACTAAGATTCCTTCCTCTCCCCCTCCCCCTTTTGTGCCTAGAAAAAATATACCAAAGATGCTTCTAATCTAAAAAACTCCTTGCGGGCCGCCAAAGCCGAGCGCGAACGTTTGAAAAGCGGCTCTTCCGAGTCGGACGTGACGTTGCCCATCTTCCAGTCGTCCCCGTTGACGTCTTCCGCCGGCAGCCGGCTGCTGGACCAGCCCTTCAGCGCCCGCTCGGACCCCTTGGTTAACGTGGTCGGCCGGAGCGTCCACTCCCAGACCATCGAGAGCGCCCTGGTGCCCTGCGACGCCTGCGAGAGCACCCAGGCCAGCCTGCAGGAAGTGGGCAAGGCCATCATCGACCTCTGCGGCACCCTGAACATCTCGTCCTCCCTGGGCAAGTTCCTGAAGATGGTGGAGGAGAGGCTGGGAGGCAAGCTGCTGACGGCGATGGACGTGGGGTACTGGGCCACCGAGCAGAGCAAGGACCTTTCCCGGGTCAACAAGCACATCCAGATGCTGATGGGGCTCATCAACCCTCTGAAAGGGGAGCTGGAGGAGTTCGAGAAGCAGAAGAACCAGCTGAAGAAGCAGCTGGAGAACCTCGACGGCAGCCTGCAGAAGGAGAAAGAGGCCAAGCGGCAGCAGAGGGAGGAGACGGAGCAGCTCCTGCAGAAGAAGGAGAGGGAAAGCCAGCAGCTGATGGCCAAGCTGCAGAAGGCCAAGGAGGACCTCGGAAACCGTGAGTATCTCTTCCTTTTGAGATGCCAGCTTAGCCACGTAGGGTGGGCAGGATTTGGGTAGGACAGTGGTTCTTCCGTTTTGGGGCTCCCGCAGAACGAGCCGGAGAAGAATCCTGGCCCGCTCAAGGCCAACGCGGCCTTCCGAGGTCGGTAAAATGAGGAGGCCCAGATTGTTGGGGGCAAGAGAGGCTGACTCTGTAAGCGGCTTAGAGAGGGCTGTGAAAGCACTGCGAAGAGGCATATAAGTCTTAAGTGCTATTGCTATTCCTTTTCTCCTTCCTCCCTCCCTTCCTTGTATGATTGTTGGGGGGCAACAGGCTGACTCTGGAAACCAATCAGAGAGGGCTGCCTGGAAAGTGTTGTGAAGGGGCATATAA